ACAGCCCAGGTAGAGCCACAGCCACGGCCCCTGCTACTTACACCGGGCTTACTTCTCTGTAAGAATGACGGAAAGAGAGAGAAAATGCTTTTGTCCCCTGGTTCACTCCTCAGGTGGCACCAACCGCAGGGGCTTGCAGCGCCATGCGGGCCTCCTCTGTGGGCGGCAGGGGCGTGGGCATGTGGCCAACTTCTATGGCCTTCCCTGGTGTGAGAGCGGGCAGCTGGGTAGGAAGTGGGGTAGTGTCTGGGAGCTACTAAGAGGGGTGTGAGCTCCTTGGCCACATCCTGGGGGACTCATGGGGAGCACAGCAGTCCCAGGGACCTCAGGAGGCCACGAGGGCCTGGCAGGAGTGGGCCTGGGGAGGGGCTATGGTCCATCTGGGTGCCTGGCCAGCATCAAATTGCCCCGGCATGACCAGAAGTCATGAGGGCAGTGTGAACTGACTCAGCAGTGAACAGCTGGGAGAGAGCCGTGCTCGGAATGTGGGAGCCGAGCACGCCGGAGGAGATGCACCCGTGTTCCAGCCACAGAGGTTCCCTACAGTTTCACATCCCCGGGGTCTCGGCCCTAAGGAAGCAAAGTCAGGTCCACAGGAGAAACTGGATGTGGGTGGCCAGAGCTGGACGACCAGGCCGGAGCAGCTTGGACAGTGGTCGGAAGCCTGCTGCGGTCCGGCCTGTGTGTGCCCTGCAGCAAGGAGGCCAAGGCTGGACAGCGAGGGCAGACCTGCCAATGCCAGAGGACTGGGGGGGCCAGGGGAACCCCAAGGATGCTGGGAACAGCTCACGGGGACACAGGTAGAGGTGAGCTGGTTTTGCTGCAACAGGGCTGCGTGGAGCTGTTTCACGAACTTTCCAAGGACCCACGGTACTGGTTGGTCTCAGCGTTCTGTTTTTGTTAGAATTGTCTTACTCATCTGAGAGCGATCTTCCATGCATTAGTTCACTCCCCAGATGAGATCTAGGGCTGAAGCTGAGCCAGGTCGGTGCCAGGCGCCCAGAGTTCGACCAAGTCTCCCACATGGGTGCTGTTTTATCAGCCAAGATAAACACCTGTCCGAGTGGGCCAAGTGCCCCCTGGGCCCCGTGGAAAGCAGTCCAGGATACGGTGCAGGTGCGGGGAGAGTTGGCTGGGATTGCGGCCCCCTCCTCGGGCACACACACTTGGCTGGTCCTGCTCTGACACCTGAGCTTGTGGAGTGTCTGTCCCCGCAGGCTCCTTCCTCATGCCACCAAAGACAGTACTGCCCGGCTCTGGATGGGTCCTGGACAGGAAGCCCAGTACCTGCCAGCAGTGGCAGTGTGGGCCAGGCCCCTTGGGGGAGGCTCCTGGCAGGAGGCAGGAAGCAGCCAAGGAGGCCGGGGGAATGTGGATGGAGGAAGGGGCCTGGGGGGTGGTGTGCTCCGGGTGTCTAGCCAGACAGGAAGTTCTTGTTTGAGGCCCAGCAGGGGGAGGGGGAAGGGACAGGTTCTCTGTGTGACCCAGCTGGAGAGCTGAGGCTCATGGAGCTGGCTGGGTGGGGCCGAGAGCCTGGGTGGACAGGCAGTGTTGGGGCCCAGCTGTCCAGGCTGTCACAGGCAGAGGTGGGAGCAGGGGCGCCACAGGCCCACTCACCAGGCAGACTCTGCTGTATTACAGATCCCAGATCACCCCAGTAGTCAGTGTCCCATCTGGGAGCCAGGCTCCTGGTGCTGTCCCAGCAGGGGACCCACAGGCCAGGCTGGAGCAAAGTGGGGGCAGGGTGCAGCCCCAGTTGTCAGTTGGCTTGCCTGGTTGGGAGTTCCTGGTGGGCCACATGGACGGGCTTGGCCTGGAGTGCAGAATGCCAGCATGGTCCAGGAGGAGACTGTGGGGACACCTGACTGATGGACCTGTGGTGCTGGGGGCCCTGACTGGGGCCGCATCACAAGGTCAGTCCTCATCTTGGCACCCTTGGGGAAAGAGTGGACATGACAACCAAGGACCCAGGGAAGGAGGAGGCAGCTGAGCCAGGCTTGGGCTGTGCTGGGGCATCCACATGTCAAGGTCACATGCCTCGTCCCTCCACTGCGGAGTGTAGGAGGAGCTGTCGGCACCTCTCTAGTCTCCATTCCACTGGGCACAGCAGGATGAGGAGCAAGGAGGTGTGCCCAAGGTAGGGTGCTAGCCATGACCCAGGGGAGGGGCCAAGACTGGAAGGCTGCAATGTGTATGTCTGTCTAGGTGTGTGCGTGTGTGTGTGCAGGAGGTGTATGTGTAGGTGTAGGTGGTATCTGTGTAGGAGGTGTGTGTGTGTAGGTGTGTGTGTGTGTAGGTGTGTGTGTGTAGGTGTGTGTGTAGGTGTGTGTGTAGGAGGTGTGTGTGTAGGTGTGTGTGCAGGAGGTGTGTGTGTGCAGGAGGTGTGTGTGTAGGTGTGTGTGTGTGTAGGTGTGTGTGTGTAGGTGTGTGTGTGTAGGTGTGTGTGTAGGAGGTCTGTGTGTGCAGGAGGTGTGTGTGTGTAGGTGTGTGTATGCAGGAGGTGTGTGTGTAGGTGTGTGTGTGCAGGAGGTGTGTGTGTAGGTGTGTGTGTGCAGGAGGTGTGTGTGTGTAGGTGTGTGTGTGTGTAGGTGTGTGTGTGTAGGTGTGTGTGTAGGTGTGTGTGTAGGAGGTGTGTGTGTAGGTGTGTGTGCAGGAGGTGTGTGTGTGCAGGAGGTGTGTGTGTAGGTGTGTGTGTAGGTGTGTGTGTGTGTAGGTGTGTGTGTGTAGGTGTGTGTGTGTAGGTGTGTGTGTAGGAGGTCTGTGTGTGCAGGAGGTGTGTGTGTGTAGGTGTGTGTATGCAGGAGGTGTGTGTGTAGGTGTGTGTGTGCAGGAGGTGTGTGTGTAGGTGTGTGTGTGCAGGAGGTGTGTGTGTGTAGGTGTGTGTGTGCAGGAGGTGTGTGTGTGTAGGTGTGTGTATGCAGGAGGTGTGTGTGTAGGTGTGTGTGTGCAGGAGGTGTGTGTGTAGGTGTGTGTGTGCAGGAGGTGTGTGTGTGTAGGTGTGTGTGTGTGTAGGTGTGTGTGTGTAGGTGTGTGTGTGGGTGTGTGTGTAGGAGGTGTGTGTGTAGGTGTGTGTGCAGGAGGTGTGTGTGTGCAGGAGGTGTGTGTGTAGGTGTGTGTGTAGGTGTGTGTGTGTGTAGGTGTGTGTGTGTAGGTGTGTGTGTGTAGGTGTGTGTGTAGGAGGTCTGTGTGTGCAGGAGGTGTGTGTGTGTAGGTGTGTGTATGCAGGAGGTGTGTGTGTAGGTGTGTGTGTGCAGGAGGTGTGTGTGTAGGTGTGTGTGTGCAGGAGGTGTGTGTGTGTAGGTGTGTGTGTGTAGGTGTGTGTGTAGGTGTGTGTGTGTAGGTGTGTGTGTAGGTGTGTGTGTGTAGGTGTGTGTAGGAGGTGTGTGTGTGTAGGTGTGTGTGTAGGTGTGTGTAGGTGTGTGTGTGTGTAGGTGTGTGTGTGTAGGAGGTGTGTGTGTAGGTGTGTGTGTGTGTAGGTGTGTGTGTGTAGGTGTGTGTGTGTAGGTGTGTGTGTAGGAGGTCTGTGTGTGCAGGAGGTGTGTGTGTGTAGGTGTGTGTATGCAGGAGGTGTGTGTGGTAGGTGTGTGTGTGCAGGAGGTGTGTGTGTGTAGGTGTGTGTGTGTAGGTGTGTGTGTAGGTGTGTGTGTGTAGGTGTGTGTGTAGGTGTGTGTGTGTAGGTGTGTGTAGGAGGTGTGTGTGTGTAGGTGTGTGTGTAGGTGTGTGTAGGTGTGTGTGTAGGTGTGTGTGTGTGTAGGTGTGTGTGTGTAGGTGTGTGTGTGTAGGTGTGTGTGTAGGTGTGTGTGTAGGTGTGTGTGTGTAGGTGTGTGTGTGTAGGTGTGTGTAGGTGTGTGTGTGTGGGTGTGTGTAGGTGTGTGTGTGTAGGTGTGTGTGTGTAGGTGTGTGTGTGCAGGAGGTGTGTGTGTGTAGGTGTGTGTGTGTAGGTGTGTGTGCAGGAGGTGTGCGTGTGTGTAGAGGTGTCTGTGTTTCTGTGAGTGGGAGCAGTCATGTTCTCTGTGTACTGGAAGTTGTGTCCGTGCGACTTGGATGCGCTGATGTCTCCTCTGTGTCCAGGCTGGACAGTCGCGGCCTCCACACTGTGGCCACTCTGCCAGCTCTCCTGTTCTAGGATGTCTGACTGTGGCCTTGACCATCGCTCTTGGCGCGTGCACTTTCTGGAAGGGAAAAGGCCGGGGCTCTGCTCTGGTCTCGGTGGGAGCCCCACCTGTGCTGCGGCAGTGTGGCTTTGCCCAGGAGCCCGCGCCGGCACGCAGGCTCAGCCGCGTTTGGACATGCAGGCTGAGCGGCTGTGGCCCGCAGAGAGCTCACGCTGTCCACCTCCACCGAGTGGCCTGTCTGAATCTCGGGTCTCTGCTGCAAGTGTCTGCCATCTGCTGTGGCGTGGACAAAGGCCAGGCACCCAGCACGTGAGAGTCAGTCCCGGGGGGTTCCCAGAGGACAGCTCTGGGGACAGGAAGCAGCACGGGGGAGGCCAGAGGCAGAGGGTGGCGAGCTAAATTGGGAAACATGAGGACAGCTCTTGGCACTGTGGCACCACATCCTTGGGGATGCTGGGGCTGACCTGGAGCACAGCTGATCTATAGCTGGGCACCCCACATGCTGGCTGGCCCCTGGAGTGAAGGTGCAGCCCAGAGCAGGCTGTGGGCCGGCAGCTCTCCCCTCTGTGCCCCCACCCCTGCACCCGTGACTCTCCCTTCCTGCTGGGCCCATCCAGGCAGACACCTCCTGTCCTCCACCTGACTGAATCTTCACAATTTTCACTTTATTTGAAAGGGTACAGGACACCTGAACGGAGGCCCTCAGCCACCTGAGGCCAATGTCGCCGGGGGGCTGTGTGGAAGGCCGCAGAGCCGGCCCTCGGGCATGGCATGGCTGCTGTGCCCATGTCCGTCGGGCTGGGGCGCCCTGGCACAGAGGACGGTCTCCTTGCCCTGAGGCGGGATGCAAGGGCCGTTGGCCAGGCGCCTCTGCCTCTGTGGGTGCACAGGTGAGAGGGCAAAGGTCAAAGGGAGCCAGCCTGCCTCTTGGCCCTCCAGGCCAGGAGCTGTAATCTGGGGACCCCAGGGGCACCCCATCTCCCCACCTTGGGGTGAGGAGCAGGTCTGTGAAGCAGGGTTAGGGACAGGCAGGGGGCTGGGTCAGACGTGGCCGGGCGTGTGACCTGCCCATCACCTTAGGGCGGCCCCTTAACCCAGGGGTCCTGCTGCTGCGGCTGGGCAAGGCTGGGCTCAGGACGTATCTGCCTCGCCGGTCCAGGCCGCGGCGTGCGCGGATGGCGAACCAGAGAAAGGAGGAGAGCAGCAGCGCATACACCTAGCGAGAGGGGCGCGGCTTGAGTGGCCCGACAGGAAGGTGGGGGCCGAGGGGTGGGCCACCCACCACCCCGGGGAGCTCCTGGATTCTGCTGGGCTGCGTCCCACGTCTCCCCCTGGGCCATGGGCCAGGCCTCCCCTGCTCTAGGGAACTGCCGGCTGCCCACGTGTGTGCCCATCAGTGGGCAGAACCTGGGTACCATAAGGGCCAGGGCGATGCCGAGTGAGATGAAGCCGGCCCTCTGGTGGGTCCGCAAGAAGGTCCGGATTCCCTCCAGGCAGTCCTGGCGAAGAAGGGGTGTGGGCAGGTGCAGGGGAAGAGGCCATGGGGCGGGGTAGGAGCCAGCCTCTGTGGGCCAAGGGCCCCCCAGGCTCCACCCTGAACCTGCCAGGCCGCGGCTGGCTAACAGGATGGGCAGGGAAAGGCCCAGGGGGCCCGGAGCGGAAGGACGCGGCGTGCGGGTCCCATCCTGGGCTTCCACTAGGGCTGGCCCAGGCGTGGTACCCACCCGTGTCTGCTACCAGAAACCGAGGCAGCTGGGCTGGAATCACACGTTCGGGGCCAGAGGTAGGCAGCTGCTGAAAGCAACTCTCTGAGGGGTGAGTGTTCACCCCTGCCCCCAGCACCTGCCACGGGTGCTCATCCTGGCCACCTCCCTCCCTTAAACCGAGCCCAGCGCCCCCTGCTGTCCCTGGGAGAGTGGGGGGGACCTCACCCTGCTCTGGCCCGGAGCTGGGAAGGGGGGTGTCTGGTGGCGGAGGGGAAGAGAAGGCAGGAGTCATGTACCCTGGCTGAGTCCCTTGCTCCTGCCCTGGGGCTGAGCTCAGCGCCCCTACCCTGGAGTCCTCGTAGAGGCTCTGGAAGGGAGGACCTGGGTGGGGGGCGGTGTGTGGAAGCCCCTGAGTGGGACGCAGAGGAGCAGGTGGGGAGGGCCCCGGCTTACCTGTGTGTGCGTGCCGGCTCCATGGCACAGCTGGGCATCTGTGGACCGCAGCACACGGAATGGTGACCTCTTCCCACAGCACAGGAACTGGGGGCAGGTGGGACAGAGCGGCTCACTGAGGCGACAGGGGACGAAGGAGCAGGTAGGGACTCGGGGTGTCTCAGCTGCTTCTGGGGAGTGGCCCAGCCCTGCACCTGCCCCCCCGAGCCTGGGCCAGGGGGCCCTGGAAGTGGACATGAGGCAGCTGGTCTCTGCTCTGCACCCAGGCTCGGCGGAGCCAGCACCCCACCACCAGGCTGCAGCAGGGCACCCCTTCCCGGCCTCACCGTGTCCTGGATGGCCACCAGCTCCCAGTACCAGGAACCTGTCGCGTTCCTCAGCGCTCGGTCGTACACCAGGTCAAAAGCGTCCAGCACCACCTCCTCCACCTGCACCGAAAGCCTGTGAGAGCCCCTCCCCACATGGCGGGCAGCCCACAGGGTCACATCCTGGGACCCATCCCTAGTGTGGCTGTCACCATAGCCACCTACTCTCGGGTAAGACCCAGGCTTTCAGACCGCCTGCTGCTAAGGCTCCCCGAGCCAGCGATGGGCCCAGCCCACAGACAAGGCCTCACCCACACCAGGACCGAGGGGCTCCCGAGAAGCCCCTAGCCCTGCCCTTGCCTGGGCAGCTGCAGCCCATGCAAGGCCATTGGGTGTCCCGGAGCTGCCAGCCAAAGCCGCTTTGGGCAGAGCATGGGGGTCACTGACCCTGCCACCACCATGTTTGGCCGCTGTCCTCCTGAATACCCCACTGTCCCCACCAAGAGACCAGCTGGAATATCTCCTTCTCCGGGAAGGCCCCCTGGCTGTCCCGAGCGTCCGTGGCCCACGTGCACTTCCACTCCCATGCCACGCTGGCAGCTGGGACACACCAAGACTGCCTTAAGGGTTAGAGCTCAACAACGGGAGGTGGGGTAGGAGGGGACCCAGGCCTGCTCTGACCACTCATCCCTGCTCTCCACAGAGGAGGGGGTGCTGCTCACGGCCCCCGAGCCCAGGGCAGACCCCGCCAGCAGGGAAGGCTCTGACCAGCCCTGCCCGTTCCGGACACTAGTGCCTTTGGCCCTGGGTGTCCCTGCCTGCTGATGGTGCCACGAGGAGGCTTCGGCAGCCTGGCCCTAGCCACGTTGGGAGGCGGGTGGCCCTTGGGGGACTGTGCAGCAGGAGTGAAGCCCTGAGGTGGGTGGCCGGACGCCTCCAGGATGGAGCTGGCCTGACCAGTGGCTGTGGCCCAGGCGGATGGATCCCGCAGGCTGTAGTCTGAGCCCGCACAAGACCTCCTGGGACTCACCATGTCTGCGGCTCACCGCACAGCTCTATCACAGAACCGCAGGCCGCCTTCCCAGGAGGCCGTCTGGGCCACGGGAGGATGCAGACCACAGCCCTGGCGCCTGGCAAACTGGAAGTGTTGGCGGAACGCCCCCTGCTCACCATGGGCTCAGGGCAGGGGTGGCAAAGATCCATTCCCTTTGTCCTGGGGTCCACCAACCCCAACCTCAGTGCACCCCTGGTCCTGTGCAGTGGGAACCTGGGGCTGGAATCAGCCTGGAGGGGAAAACACAGGATGGACACGGGATGGGCATGGGATGACACGGGATGAGATGGGATGGGCACAGGATGACATGGGATGGACACGGGATGACACAGGATGGATGCGGGCGGATATGGGATGGACATGGGATAGACATGGATGGACACAGAATGACACAGGACGGCACGGGATGGGCATGGGATGACACGGGATGAGATGGGATGGATTTGGGCAGACATGGGATGGGCACAGGATGACACAGGATGGATGCAGGCATACACGGGATGGACATGGGATGGACATGGGATGGACATGGGATGGACACGGGATGACATGGGATGGGCACAGGATGACACAGGATGGATGCGGGCATACACGGGATGGACATGGGATAGACATGGATGGACACAGAATGACATAGGACGGCACGGGATGGGCATGGGATGACACAGGACTGCACGGGATGGGCATGGGATGACACGGGATGAGATGGGATGGATTTGGGCGGACATGGGATGGGCACAGGATGACACAGGATGGATGCAGGCATACACGGGATGGACATGGGATAGACACAGAATGACATGGGATGGACACAGGATGGGCACAGGTTGGCACGGGATGGGCATGGGATGACACGGGATGAGACAGGATGGATGCAGGTGGACATGGGATGGGCACAGGATGTATACGGGATGACATGGGATGGATGCGGGCAGACACGGGATGGACATGGGAAGGACACAGGATGAGCAAGGGATGGACGTGGGATGGGCACAAGAGGCCAGCCCCACCCTGCCCAGGGCTGCTTGGGCACTCCAGGTCCCCACATCAGAGAGGAGACCCCTGGGAAGAGGGCCGCAGGGGAGCTGGGCCCTGTGCTGCCTCGAGCCATATTTCCCATGTGTTGGGGTCCCAGGCAAGGAGGCTGTAAACTAGAAAGTCCAGTGTCCCTGCCCACTGCTGACCTGCCAACCCCAACCACCAGGCCCCGTCTGTGTCACAGAGCCTGGACACATATACACAGGCCATGTGTTGGGGGGGTGAGGCAGGGCTCCCTCTGCAGGGGCAAGGTGGCCGCAGGACAGCATGTGTGTGTGTGTGTGTGTGCATGCATGCTTGTGCGTGTGTTGGGGGGTTGCATGGGGCAGAGCAGGCCAGGGAGGCTGTCTGCTTCCCCCTCCCCAGCCCTACCCTTGGGAGCAGCCCAGCTGGGTTCCATCCTGCAGCCCCTGCAGCGCGCCCCCCCAACCCCCGCCGCCTCCTCGACAATGGTGTGTGTGTGAGCACGGCTGACTCTGGGGTGCTGGCGGCTGTCTTGCCCGTGGCCACCCACGCTGTGACCCAGGCTGCCGGTGGCCAGACCACCCCTGGGAGGCAGGACGCTGTGGTGGCTCCACCTCTCCGGGATCCTGCTGGGTCACAAGAGATGGGCTGTGCTCATCCTGTCTTGGGGTGGACCCCAAAAGATGCTGGGGTTGCAGTTACTTTGGGGTGACTCTGAGCAGGGCCTGGAGTCCCCACTAGTCCTGGTAGCAACTTGGGCTGGCCCCAGAGGGCCCAAATTCCTCCATGCCAGGAGGCCACAACTATGTCCAAGGTCAATGCCGGCCCAGCAGGGAGCCAGGCTCCACTTCCGGGCCCCTGACCTCCTGGTGCTCAGCCGGGGGCCCCTGAACATGGTGGTGTGGAAGTGGGGTTGCAGACTGGCCTCCCCTCCCTCAGCCCGTCCCCCTCCTCTCAGAGACCTGGGCCAGACACAGCACTGTCTCCCCTTTCCTGCCCCCAACCCTAGTGGCTTCGGCCTTGTCCTCCATCAGGGAGTGGCTGCCCCCTCACCTGGTCCGGGCGGTGGTAGCTTTGGAAGGCGACTTGCACCAGCGCACAGAAGGCCACAGCAAAGCACAGGAATCCCTGGACGGAGGGGATGCGTGAGGTGTGTGCACGGCAGGTGTGTGTCTGCACAGTGAGCGCCCATGCCTGCCCCAACTTCTCTGGTCCCCTGTTCAGGCTCCTGAGCACCCCTCGGGTATAGCACCACACCTCACCCAGTGCCCCAGGGGCCCCCTGCCCCTGGGGGCTGCCTGGGTGAGTAGGGTGGGGGCTCTGGGTGCCCACCTGCCCTCTGCAGCTGGGCATGGTCTGGCTGTACCTCACGGAGAGGTTCCTCTGTGATTGCGACCCCAAGCTCCCCTTAGCCCCCACCCCAACTGGGGTCCTGGCTCTGGCCTTCGCGCCTGGCCCTTTGGTGAGTCCTGGGGCCCTCGGTCAGGGGGTGTCCATGGGGACCCACAGTGGGGCTCCTCTCCATTGCTTCTGGGCCTCACACCATTCTGCTCCCAGCAGGGCCCCTGTAGTGCCAAGGGAGCCACCCCCACCACTTCACCTCAGAAGGACAGCCCTGGGGGTTCCACTCCCCATGGTGTCCTGGGCAAAAGGGACGGCAGTCCTGGCCCCGCCTGGGGAGGACAGGTGACCGAGGCTTAGGCTTGCCCAGAGCAGAGCCGGCTTGTGGGCAGGGTGGGGAGGGTGCCTCTCTTCTGCCTCTGCCTCCTTCCTGCTCCATCCCCTCCTCCCTGCCTCCCTGCTTCCTCTCCCCTCCTCCTCCCTCCTCTCCCCTCCTCCTCCCTCCTCTCCCCGCCCCCATCTCCGCCCTGTCCACTGGCTGGTTGGCCAAAGGCTGCCTTCCCCATCTGGAATCCATCGCCCGCGGCTGCCTCCCAGGCTCAAGGCCCCGAGCCAGCTGAGGAGACCAGCATTTTCCAGAAACCATTTGTTTCTCAGGAAGAGCAACCGCCACCCCACCCCTGCCTCCCCGTGGAGAGGGTCCCCGGGCAGCAGGGAGACACCCCATCACGCTGCCAGCCTCCCTGGGGCCTCCACCAGAGGCAGGACGGGCCGATGGGTACCCTCATGGTGTAAGAAAGCGTTCTGCTGCACGCTGGCCACTCACGGTGGGCTTCCTGCGTGTACATACACAGAGATGCCAGATCCACCCATGAATGCCACACCTACAAAGCAACAGGCTGGCAGAGGAAAGGAAGACACCTCTATGTGCACACAGGCACGCACAGACATGCACACGGGTAGACACGTGCACACAGGCACACACAGACATGCACACGGGTAGACACGTGCACACAGGCACACACAGACATGCACACGGGTAGACACGTGTACACAGTAACACACAGACATGCACACGGGTAGACACGTGCACACAGGCACACAGACATGCACACGGGTAGACACGTGCACACAGGCACACAGACATGCACACGGGTAGACACGTGCACACAGGCACACAGACATGCACACGGGTAGACACGTGCACACAGGCACACACAGACATGCACACGGGTAGACACGTGCACACAGGCACACACAGACATGCACACGGGTAGACACGTGCACACAGGAACACACAGACATGCACACGGGTAGACACAGGCACACACAGACATGCACACGGGTAGACACGTGCACACAGGCACACACAGACATGCACACGGGTAGACACGTGCACACAGGCACACACAGACATGCACACGGGTAGACACGTGCACACAGGCACACACAGACATGCACACGGGTAGACACGTGCACACAGGAACACACAGACATGCACACGGGTAGACACAGGCACACACAGACATGCACACGGGTAGACACGTGCACACAGGAACACACAGACATGCACACGGGTAGACACGTGCATACAGGAACACACAGACATGCACACGGGTAGACACGTGTACACAGACACGCACAGATATGCACACGGGTAGACACGTGCACACAGGCACACACAGACATGCACACGGGTAGACACAGGCACACACAGACATGCACACGGGTAGACACGTGTACACAGACACGCACAGATATGCACACGGGTAGACACGTGCACACAGGCACACACAGACATGCACACGGGTAGACACGTGCACACAGGAACACACAGACATGCACACGGGTAGACACAGGCACACACAGACATGCACACGGGTAGACACAGGCACACACAGACATGCACACGGGTAGATGTGCACACAGGCACACACAGACATGCACACGGGTAGACACGTGCACACAGGCACATGCGGCCCCAAGAGCAGGTCTCGGGATAGTTCCCTAGCGTCTGCACGGGGCACTGTCCAGGCTGGGGCTCAGCCCAGGGGCTGTGCTTGACTCCTCTTAGCTTGACAGTCTGGTGCAGCAGTCCAGCCAGGGTGGAGGAGCAGGGATCTCCCAGGTCGTTCCAACAAACCCACTTCATGTGACGGACATTCTGGCCAGCAGCCTCCCTGGGCTGACCCCTCTGCCCCCAGGCCAGGGAGCTGCACCGGAGGGCCAGGGCAGCTGTCCAAGGCCTCGCTCCATGGCGACCCCTGGTGGCTGACACTGCAGCCTGCAGAAGCCCCCCCTCTCCCCGACCCCCCCCCCCCCCCCCCCCCGCCCATGTGAGGCCAGGCTGTGGTGTGAGGGGTCCTGGGGAAGGGTCCCAGCTGGCCTGCCTGCCTCAGGGCCCCCACCATTCTGGCAGCTCCTGTTTCCTTTTGAGGGGAGAGGGCCGAGGCTTTCCTGCGGCCCAGAGGACTCACCCCGGCCATGAGGCCCTGGGCCTCCCTCATGGTGCCTGCGGCACTCAACGTGGCCCCCATGGTCAACAGCACGGCCAGGCCGGTCACCAAGCAAAAGGCTGGAGGGAGGGGGAAAGAAGGGAAGAGGGGGGAAGCAGGGGAGGAAGAAGAGGAGGTTTGAGGCATCCAGATGGGGCCACCCCCACGCCCCGCCCCTGCCCGCCTCTGGGGAGGGGAGGGGTGCCCTTATCAACCCCTTCCAGCCCTGCTGGGGACAACTTGGGGTTGGGGGCCGCCAGGCCTGAGTTTCTGCACACACACATCCTCTGAATCCCTTGGCTGCCTCTTCTGGCCCCAGTGCAGACCAGCCACGGGCAGCCCTTGTCCTGCCCAGAGCCCCTGGGGACCCCAGCTCAGCCCCTCTCTGCTCTGCTGCGGTGACCTCCCTCCTGGCCGCCACTTACCCCAACGGTGTGTCTCCTCGTAGGCAGTCCTCCCCAAGGCCGCCTGGCGAAGGACAGTCCAGTGAGCCCCAAAGTAGGTGAGGGTCGCCGAGGTGGCCACAGATAGGCCCAGCAGCTGGGGGGTGCAGGCGCATAGTTGGGGTGGGATTGCCACTCAGGGGCCTGGGGCTCCCATGGGAGTGGCTCAAGGAGGTGCACAACCACGTGCAGACACACATTCAGAGGCTGCCAGGACCTGGGGACTTGCATCAGGCCCCCTGGGGGGAAATCGGTGTGGGGGAGACCCCTCCAACCAGGCCCTCTGCAGTCCTGACACCCTGCAAGGTGCCCTGGCAAGCAGCACCGTCCCCCATCATCCCCCAATCCTCAGGCTGTCCCTCAGGAGGACTGCCACTCCCCCCAGGGAATCCTAACTAGGGTAGGACCGGGGGGGGGGGGGGGGGGGGGCCTAGGCATGCACTCAGCACCCCCTGACCCCGCCTGTTACCAGGACGAAGAGGCAGGTAACCAGCAGCTGGCACTTGGCAACCCTGACTCGGCGGCCAGGCCTCATGGTGGCTTCCCCTCCCCTGCTCCTTGCTGGGTGCCCAGCGGGGGTCAGGTGCCACACGGGGACAGGCAGGAAGGGGCGGGGCAGTGGGGCCAGGCCACCAGAAAGGGTGGAGCCCCACTCTTGCTGTGGCCAAGGAGGCCCCAGGGAAGGGGCGGGAGCCTGACCACAGGGGTGGGGAGAGGAGGGGAGGGAGCGGGAGGCGGCGGGTGGGGAGGGGGGATGGCTGCGCCCCTCATTGCTACAGCCAAGGCAATGGGGTTTGGAACCTTCCATGACAGCCGGTGTGACACACCGGCAAAAGTGGTGTGACAGTCAGACCATGACACCCCAAAGCGGCTTCCACAGTCAGGGTAACCCAGAGGGCAGCTGTGCAGGACTTCCGGGTGGGCTGGGTGTAAGGCACTGCCCACAGAGGGGCATGGGGCCCCAGGGTATATCAGACATCAGCCACCCTTCCCTGGGCTCCTGTGCTGGGTCCCTGGAACTCCAACATCCCCTGATCACAGGAGGTTGAGGGGAACCTTCCTCCAGGAGACAAGAAGCCTGAAAGACGCAGGTTCTGCCCCCAAGGGGCTGGGGGTCACAGCCTCCCCCTGTTCCCCATACCTCGGCAGAGGCTGCTTCCTGCCTCTGGGTCCAAGGAAGATGCTCCTGGGACGCGTGTACTGTGTACTCGTGTGTGTGCAAGTATGTAGCCTGTGTACACACGCTTGTGTATGCCCTGCAGGTGCACAGCCTGCTCGCATGCGCATATGCTGCTGTGAGAATGGGCGTGGCCTCCATGTGTGCAGACAGGGTATCTGCATGAGTTCATGCTTGCATGTTCATGTGCAGGTGCGTCAACCAGGAACCCCTCCATTTCCTCATCTAACGATTAGTCAATTGGATAAAACCAGTTTTGTCACAGTAATCAACTGAAAAAGGTAGAAAAGGTTGAGCAAGATGGAGAAGCCAGTGGCTGGCACTGCGGTATAGCATGTTACGCTCTGCAGGGCCAGCCTCCCATGTGGATGCCAGTTCGAGCCCTGGCTGTTCCACTTCTGATCCAGCTGCTAGTGTGTCTGGGAAAGTCGCAGAGGACAGCCCACGTGGGAGGCCCGGATGGGGCATCTGAGTCCTGCCTTCGGCCTGGCCCAGTCCTGGTCACTGGTAGCCACTTGGAGGGTGAACCAGCAGATGGGAGATCTCCCCGTCTCCTTCACTCTGTAACTCTGCATTGCAACAAATAAATACATCTTTAAATAAAGAAGCATTGTGCTTTGGGTCGTGACCCACAGGGTTGGGTGCCCCTGAAGGGCAGGGTTGCTCTGGGACCCTGGTGAGGGGCATGGAGCAAGGGGGCCCGAAGGCCTCCAGAGGTGCCCCTCTCCTGGAGGCAAGGGGTGACGCCACCCTGCGTGGGGAGGCTGCTGGAGTACCCTGTGGGAAGGGGGCACATCATTCCTCAGTGAGGCCCTGACCGACAGGGGCAGCAGGGGCCCAGGCAGGTGTCTCGGCAAGGGGTGGCAAGGATCCTTTGACCCCTACGAAAGAATCGTTCCTGCCAGGCAGTGCCAAGGGAGAGGGACTGGATGCCCAATGAAGCGGGCAGGACAGAGGACAGCCCCCCACAACCCCAGGCTTTCCCTGCGTCCTGCCTCCTCCTGGCTCACCTCCCACCAACGCTGGCAGCTGCCCAGGTCTCCCTCGTCTGCTCTGTCTTTTCCAGAACATTCTAGTGTGACTGCTTCATCCCGGGCCCTGAACCGGCTGCACTCATTCCGGCAGTGACCTGCTTCCTGTCGCTGCCTGTGTCTTGCTGTCACCATTGTTCTGGGTTCCGGTTACTGATCGGTCTATGGACTGGTTGACAAGGAGGATCATTTGCCAGTTCCACTGTAGCTGCTGGGCCGGGACTGCGCCGGGGCCGGAGCTGGGAGGCGAGCCCTCAACCTAGGCAACTCTCCTGAGGGGCAGGACCCCAACAACTTGAGCCCCACACACCTCCTGGGTGCGACAGGCTCTGGGTGAGGCCCTCTCGTCAGCTGACCTCAGAGGCCTTCAGCAGTGAGGCCAAGGATCAGAAAAGCCACTGAGACCTCATGTACCTGGCAGCAGAGGTGTGGGCTGCAGGGTCGACAGTGCCGTGGTGGGGCCCCCCTTCCTTCCCCCGCTGCCGGGGTCTTGGAACAAGGCCCTGAGAATCTCCTTGCAGCTGTTGTGTCTCCCAAGTTCACGGGGGTCCCCTAGGTGACCATGGTCCCAAGTTGTTTGTCACCAATGGGAGAAAGGGCTGCTGAACAGGTGAGTGAGAGATGGCGTGTGGCGGGCACCCAGCACGGGCTCTGTGGGTGGCAGGGGTGCCCATTGCTGGATTGGAGTGGGCAGTTGCTATCATGGTCATCGCGGGCCCTCCTGGACCTGGTGCATCGGCCAAGGCCACCAGCTCTGGACTTGGAAAAGTTTCCTCCTGACTTTGGTGCACAGCAGTGGAATCCCGGAGCCTGGTTAGGTGTGGGACACCCTGTGTGCACTCTCGGGGGTTGGGGGGGTCTTCTTTCCAGGGAAGAACCCCACGACCTGGCCTTGGCACCATCAGCATCTCTGGACCTTATGCCCTGGTTCCAGGGAAGGAGAAGCCCCAGGGGCACGGCCAGGCCACTCTGGGCTCCACATGCCAGAGGCCCGCAGGCCGAGAGCAGGCAGTGCACAGGCCATGGGCACCAGGCCCTGCCCACTTGCAGAGGGGTCCCAGGTGCTGGGATGCTCCTCCGTCCGCTCTGCCAGCACCGGCTCAGGCTGGATGCCGGCAGAGGAAGGCTCGGCCGTGACAATGACGGACATGGTGTGGGGCCAGCAACAGGCCCGCACTGGCTGCGAGAGATTCTGCCCTATTTGGTGTGTGTGTGTGTTTAAGATTTATTTGAAAGAGAGTGAGGGAGGGAAACAGAGAGAGAGATCTTTCATTTGCGGTTCTCTCCCCCAAACATGATCATTCCGCGGCCAGAAGGGAGCCAGAAGCCTGCAGCTTTACGCGGGTCTCCCACATGGCTGGACGGGCCATCCTCCACTACCTTCCCAGACCACCCGTTGGGAGCTGGGTTGGAAGTGGAGTAGCAGGGACTCGAACTAGTGCCCATACGGATGCTAGGGTTGCAAGTGGTGCCTCAACTCCCTGAGTCACACTGCCAGCCCCAAAGCTATTCTGTCTGGTGGAAGTGTGTGCGGAGGGCAAGCAGAGGGGGCTGCATGGTACCAGCATAGCCAGGTCAGAAGTGACAACCTCTTCCCAGAACCCTTCCTGCCTCAGTCTCAAAGCCCTGGCCTAGGGAAAGGCCGAAGCTGCTGGACCGTGTGACCGCACCCAAACCGAGGAATCAGTGTGTGCTCTGCCTCCAGGGGCCGGTAGGGGTGGGGGCTTGTGAGGACAGGCCTGGGGAGGGGGTTTCCCATGGGTGCTCCTTGTGGGATGGCTGGGAAGGCACGTCTCTCCCACCTCCTCCACGGGAGCTCCCGCTGCCATGCCCTCCCCCATGGCAGAGCCGACCTTCAGCTCCTATCAGAATGCAGAGGTGTCCGGCACAGTGGCCCAGCGGGGACCTGCTGCTGCTGGATACCCAAGGAGGGTCTGGCTTCACCTCCCGGGGATGCCTCCAGCCATTCCCTTGACTGTCCAGCCTCAGGGCTCTCCCGACTCTGCCCCATCCTGAGACACCAAGTTGGGGACTGGACAGCTCTTGGCTCATCAGCTCTGACGGCAGCTTCTGGGCGGTGGGCTGGCCGCTTCCTGTGGTTCCTGCAGGCCTCCGTGGCAGTGCAGAGTGAGTGAGGCAGGCTGCCTGTCAGCTGGGCATCACGCTTCTGGGCCATTCCTGTCGAGAGCACACGCACGCACAAGCAGATACATGTGTGTGCACCAGCATGCCGCACACATGCACACACACACGTGTACACACGCGTATAGGAGGACATTGTGACCCTAGAGGGTAGGCAAGCACAGAATTACAGTTGATTGGATAATATTTGCATGAGAACAACCGAATGGCCACCTTTTGTATGCCTGATTGGAGATCATTTATATAAGAACGGTTGAGTGGACAGCATGTGTGTGAGAACACTTGGTGGAATATGCAAGACAAAAGGAGTTCCAGACAAAAGCATAGCAACTGTTACTGGGTTTTGTTGATGAGCTCAATACTTCCTCCCTTATCCCATATGACCCTCAGTGTATAAAGTCTGATGCCACTAATAAACTTTGGCTTTGACCATCAGTCAGGGTCCACGCGTGTTATTATCTGCTCCGTGCACCAAGTCTGTAGGCCCTGGTCTCCCAAGGGTGAACTGCACAGCTTAGCTTGTTTCTCAAGGTGTACAGGATGGGCAATCTTGGCCTGATACATTTAGCCCCTGGCTTGACCGTAAGTTGCCTCTTCCTTGCTTCCCCTTTGTAAGATGCCCTCGGGGGAGCTGAGGAGTTGCTTGAGCATTGGGAAAGTACTGGGAGGAGCCAAGCAGACTATAAAAGATGTGGCATTCTCTTCACAAGCATGACCCACTGTGTGTTGTCTGTTTTGTAACACAAGTCCCTCCGCTTGGCTCCGTGACTGGTGGAGGTCCCACCGAGGATTCAAGGAAGGGTCGTCCCGGGAGGCTGGCCAGCAGGTAAGTGGGACGTATTGTAAGTCTTTCCTAAACTGGTAGGAGAGGGGGTTTTATTTTGAAATATAGGTAGGTTTCAGATTTATTTTGAAATATAGTTAACGTTTTAGATTTACTTTGAAGTATAGTTAGGTCTTGGTGTTTAATTTATCCTGCGAAAAGGATGAAAAAAGGGTTCAGCCTTCTCCCAGGATGAATAGGATGAATTGGTCTCCGAGCTTGAAGAACTTCTATATAAAATGGGGAATGCTGTTGGTCAGGATAGGCTGACCGGAGAGTTAAGCAATTCAAGCAAGGTAGGTTTAAAATAAAAAAATAAAATAAAAAAAGAAAAGAAAAAGAGAAAGAAAAAAGAAAAAGAATGACACATGTTCTGTAACTTAATTTAACAAAAATAATCTGATA